CTTCTTAATCTCCTAGCTTCAACCTTCCTGATGGTTTACATATTCATTTGTACAGAGCTGGCTTCTGCTTGGGGGAGGGAGACCTGGGGCTATCAAGGAAAACTGGACATGCTTTTCTTCCTCCTTAAGATCCTTTGAGGAAATATATTTTCCTGCCCTTTTAATATTTCCTTCTCTGGGGGGCTGACTTCCCACAGTAGGACAGCAAGCAGATGAAAGTAACTGGGCAAGAACCCCAGCTAAAATTCTGGAACCATGAAACAGAGCCCAAAGAGAAACATTTGTAGACTAATGTTCCAAAACACTGTTGCCTTCTTCATGGGCCTATAAAGAGCAATCCAGCTTTCTGAGGAAGGACTTCTTCTCAAGGGGTGGGGGGAGGCAACTCAGCAGTCCAAGATTAGATGGCTTCAGAAGGCAGATGGGATTGGGCTGGGCTGTAACAATATACACCAGCCCGTTGGATGGAGGCGTTGCGTACAATGAAAAGGAAGCACCATAGCAAGGCCCAAGTACCACTGCTTGTGTGAATGGAAGTCAGAACACACTCTTTTTGATAGAGAAGAGAAGATGGGCCCAGTTTTCCTTTTCTGTGGGCCAAAAGTGGGTTGAGAATGGCATGTGGATTAACTTCCTTAGTAAGCAGTTAGCAGGAACCTTTGTTCCAACATGTGGTTGAGTCCTAATAAGTGCAATAGGATCGTGTCATGTACATGGCAGAGTCAGGGTTTTAAATTTTGTTTTTTGCTTTTGTTTTTGTGAATTAGGAGAAATCAGTGCAAATCTGCCCAATGGTAGCAAACCTTGCCCTTCATTTTTAGCACTTATGATTCCCATGACTTTCAAAGCCTTAAAAACAGGATCAGATTGCCTATAAAAACAATAGTATGTGCTTGTTACCCAAACTCAGATTTCCTCATTATACAACTTTACGAAGCTTAGACAAGTTGGTTGAGGGTGGGTTCCTTTGCACTTAAAGTTGGATAAATGAGTTAGAGGAAACATCTTTAAGCATTCGTTAACTTTTGACAAAATGGAATGGAAGATGATGGGACTCTTTCTGGCAATGGGCCCTTCTGATTTCACTAATATATGAGTGGAGAAATTCTTACATTTATTTAGTTATATACATGGCAGGGGAAGCTTTTATTATCTACGGTCATATATATATCCTTATATGTATTGTTCTTTTCTCCTTTTCAGTACAGGTAGCAGTGATCCCTACTGTATTGTGAAAATTGACAATGAAACAATAATTAGGTAAGCCAGAGCACTTTTTTTTCTTTCCCTTGTAGAGCTTTAAAAAGACCACAGTCAAAACTTACCAGAATGGTATATAACTGTGGTGGCGAACCTATGGCATGCGTGCCACAGAGCCCTTTCTGTGGGCACGCGCCCCGTCACCCCAGTCCTAGGCCTTCAGCTGGGTTTTATAAAGCCTTTTTGCTTTAGGCCTCTGCCACCGTGTGCAAAAAAAAGGTTCAATCAATCAATCAATTTCAACTTCTTGTGGGGAAAAAAAGATCTCGCAAAGTTGGAATTGATTGACTGAATTTTTTAGTCCCACCCAGTCTGCCGTTACCACCGTAGCCATGCCCACCTAATGGGCCACGCCCACCCAATGGACCACACCCACCTAATGGGCCATGCCCACCCAGCATCCGACGATACATAAGTGGGTTTTGGGTTGCAGTTTGGGCACTCGGTCTGTAAAAGGTTCTCCATCACTGGTATATAAAGTTTACCTTCCCTCAAGCAGGGCTACAGATGTTACATTACAGCCAGTTCTCAACATATTACTACAATTGGAACCGGAAATTCCATCATTAAGCAGTGCGGTTGTTAAGTGAGTCACGCACTTGATTTTATGATTTTTTGCCGCTGTCATTAAGTGAAACATATGGTCATTAAAAGCAAATCCAGCTTTCCCTATTGATTTTCCTTGTCAGGAGAACGCTGGGAAAGTTGCAAATGGGCATTATGTGATCCAATTGTCATAAATACATGCTAGTTGCCAAGCACCAACTTTTGATCATATGATCACAGGGATCCTGTGACAGTCTTAAGTGCAAGTACTGTTTAAACCAAGTTTTCATCACCATTGTAACTTTGGACGGTCACTAAATGAATGGTTGTAAGCTGAGGATTATCTGTATGTCATGCCCACATGTACAAGGTGTTATGTGACTTCCATCCAATCCCATATCTCGGAGGGGTGGAACGTTTCTCTATTTTCACACAATGTGTACCTTGTGATATGTTTTCGATCACATAGCTCGCCAGAAGGGCACGTACTACCTGCCCAGTTTCATTCTTACAGGGAATTCTCAGATGTAATTAGTCATAGATGAACATCTGGCTTCCAACATCTGATGAGTCCCAATAAGGATGAATCATGCAATGTTTGCCTTCTGGTGCTCTGTGGAACTGAATTTAAAACCCATCGTAAAGAGGCACCTGTTGTTTCACCAACCTGGTGAAACTTTACTTAGAAGGAAGTTTGAAATCATAGTAACAATCGCTTTCAAGACATTGGTCTGCGTCCACAATATTTTAGTCTTCATTGTACAGTAGATCAGTAAAAAAAGAAAAATCAAACGGAGGTGAGCCAACTCTACATAGCTGTATTAATTCTGTAGCTGATATCTCAGTGGCAAAAATGATCTATCCTAGTACTAAGAATTAACTTGAGGGAACAAATCCAACTCTTCCTTCTCTATCTGCTTAATCATTCGAGGTGAGCTATTCTGTAACCTTCCTAACATTTCTCTCTCCTGCCCTGAATCTGGAAAGAAATCTATTTCAGGTTCATAGACCGTGGGTAACACCAACACTATAGGATTTGCCTGTTCAAAACAAATTAATAAAATAAAATACAGCCTCCTACCTAACAAATTGACTACTCAGTGTTAAATATATTCCTGAAATTATTGGTAAAAATACATTGTTGTAGAAAAATGTACTCTTGTTGGTTTTTCTTTTTTTAAAAAAAACTCTTTTTGTTATATACATCACTTTGGGGGGGGGGGGGAAATGGACCTTTGATTGACTTCCTCCTTCCCTCAGGACAGCCACGGTGTGGAAAACTCTCTTTCCTTTTTGGGGTGAAGAATATGAAGTCCACTTGTCTCCCAGTTTCCGTTGTGTATCCTTCTACGTGATGGATGAGGATGCATTGAGGTATATTATTGCTCCTTTTAGAGCCATCCCTTCTCCTTGTCCCCTGCCTTTAGTGACAGTGCCTCACATCATGAAGCAGCAGTGGGACAGCTTCCCTGCTGAGCACATTTGCTGCACTGTGTATTTTTTAAGAGAGTAAGAAAAATGTCTTTCACATTGGAGCTTGGCCCCTGGTGACTTCATGGAGATATTCGTGTAGTACAGGGGTAGTCAACCTTGGCTCTTTTATGACTCGTGGACTTCAACTCCCAGAATTCCTGAGCCAGCATAGCTGACTCAGGAATTCTGGGAGTTGAAGTCCACGAGTCATAAAAGAGCCAAGGTTGACTACCCCTGGTGTAGTACAAAGTTATTTGAGATCTCCTCCTTCTCCTTCTCCTTCTCCTTCTCCTCCTCCTCCTCCTCCTCCTCCTCCTCCTCCTCCTCCTCCTCCTCCTCCTGTTTTCTTGCAGGTTCCCTTACCCAGGTACTCAAGAGGTTCTGCCCAAATTAGCTTTTCAAGCTATCTGAAGGGATCAGTTGTAGTGTGAGGAGCTCCTTTTCAGAATTCCTCATTCTAAACCTTGCTGGCTTCCTCCCTTTCAGGAGTAGGTATTTTGTGACCAATGATCACTGTCAGTCCTAATCAGGCTATTAAAGGGTAGGATTCTCCCTTCTTATTTTTTCTAAAGAGGAGAAAACTGCATACAATACAATACCAATCAAAGTCGGTGGATAATTGCATTATACAATGCTTACCCACTAGGTGGAATTAGATCTTGTTGGTTTGGGGATGGGTGACTGGATGGAGAAGAAGTGTTTCATATAGGCTTTTTAAAAGAAATATATAGATTCCTCACAGGTGTTTCCTAGCATCTTCAGAGTTTCCAAGCAGGGTTAGGGTTATATGAGAAGAAGAAAGCAAATACATTGGCAGAGGAACGCATGATTAAAATGTGAGAGCAAAAGCAGAGTCAGGTAACATTTTGAAAGAGTTGATTCTAAAAGTCAGTAAAGATTATTGTACGGGCCATTGTGACACAAAGAGGCAGTGACCCTGTTATGGGTCCTCCTGGTTCCCACATAAAATATCATTATATTTTCAGCTCTAGGCTCCCCATCTGTATAATGTTGGGGGGGCCTCTTTGGTTGGTGATGACACTCCATTTACCTTGTCTTGCCTTGTTTGTCTTCCTTGTATCAGCCGGGATGATGTCATTGGGAAAGTGTGCATCCCCCAAAGTTTGTTGGCCGAGCATCCAAAAGGTGAGATTCGATCTTGGCTGAGAAAGACATCTTTTCATTTGAATGAGTAAGTGGAATGGATGCAGGAATGAATGTGATCATTTCTTCTCCCTTTTGAATCTACTATTAGAACTATTTCCTGTCCAGGTATGCCATTTCTAAAAGCCGAATGATCAATACTTCTGCTTGCAAAGGGGGCACGATAGCTCGGTGTTAAAGATGCTGAGCTTGTCAGCTGGAAAGCTGACAGCCCGGGTTCAAGACCCGAGTGACGCATAACAGGGTGAGCTCCTGTTACTTGCCTCAGCTCCTAGCAGTTCAAAAGCATGCAAATGCAAATAGGTACCACTTTGACGGGAAGGTAACAGCGGTCCGTGCCCCTCAGTGTATAGTCATACTGGCCACATGGCCAAGGAAGCATCTTCAGATGATGGCTCCTTTGGCTAAGAAATGAAGATGACCAATGCCCCCTAGAGTCGGACACAATTGGACAGGGGAAACCCTTGCCTTTACCTTTTTGCTTGCAAGCTCCAAATCTAATTAATTTGCCTGAATAAAGAGGCAGGCTGAAAAGCTTGGAGACACTCACCTCATCTCACTTCATCCAGGGGTATCATGGTTATAGCTGGCTGGAGAGGCTGTAGCTCAGAAGAGGGGAGGAAAATCATTAGCTTTTGACAACAGCTAGATTTATTGGATGAGTTCACAGTAACTTGCTAAATCCAAGTTAATCAGACAAAACGTGGGCATCACAGAACATCCTGTGCTCCATATTACGTCTTCATTGGATCTTCTGGTTCATCCTTTGTGCTAAGCTAATGATAGGGTTCTCACAATGCACTGAATACAAAATCCTATTTTAACTTTGTTGTGCGTGAACCTAGACTTGTGGTGTCCTGTCTTGCTTATTGTTTAGATTTTCCTTATTTTGTGTGGTCTTGTTTCAGCTTGTACTCATTGCTTGTACTCATTGCTCAGAATAGGACCCAACATTCCAAGTGCAGTTAAACCAACACAGAATTCAGTGGAATTCTTAATCCCCCTGAGCTGAGTACTGGGGAATGCTGGCTGGGGAAATCTGGGAGTTGAAGTCCACACATCTTCAAGCTGCCAAGAAACACCATTCTAGACCACTCAGTTTCTGTATTCTTGCTGTCTTCACTATGTCAGTGCTGATTTAAATGCTACGTAACGTAAACTCCTGTGGCCTCTCTTCTCAGTCAAAGCTGACCAAGAATCTTTAGAGCTGCAAATAGTCTTAATTGCCATAACTTCTTCAGAGCAGGATCTCCTGTTTTTTCTTTTATTTTTCCTCCCAGTTCTGGATGATCTGTCATTCTCTGTTTTTCAGCAGCAATCTGGACCACAGCAGAAAAGGGAAGACACTTTTTTTTAGCAGGACTCCCTCTTATTGTGCACAGAATGTTTATTTTATTTTATTTCAGTTCTTTTCTCATTTCCATGCTAGACAGGAGCTAAAGAGAGAACGTGAGCTGCTTAAGAATCTGGGACGATCTATTGGAAGCAAACTGACTCATCTTTGAGATGAGGGCAGGGAGAAATTCTCTCTCTCTGCAGCTAGAAAAGCTGTTGCTGGGGCTGAATTTGAAAGCTCTTTTGAAGGGGGCATAGAAATTCTCTTCTTAGGATTCCAGTTCAAGTCTCTGTTTGAAAATATTACAAAGCAGGTTGACCAGCTAGGGTTCAACATGTGCCCTAACCAGGCACTGGATTTTGTCAGCTCAGCTGGATATTTTTAAGTCTGTCTTGGAGTCAGTATTGACACTTGTTGACTGCCTACCCCTGGCCTAGACCTTCCTTGTTGTGTTTTTTGCAATATTTTTTTGGAAGAGGTTTGCTGTTACCTTCTTCCTAGGGCTGAGAGAGAGAAACTGGCCCAAATCACCCTGCTGGCTTCATGCCTAAGATAGGACTAGAACTCACAGTCTCCTGGTTTTAGGTAGGTTATGTTGCCTGTTTAACCTCCCTTTCCAAGAAAAGAGAATAAGCATTCTTCCTTCTGTAACCCCAACTTCCTTCTAGTTTAGGTGGGATTAGAATGGGGAACAACTGAGGATAAACAGTGGCCGTGTTCAAACAACACCATTAAGTCAGTTAAAAAGGGAGCAGACGGGCTACGCATGGTTCCTATAAACTTTAGCTAGATACCTCTGTGTGTGTGTGTGTGTGTGTGTCCGCACGTGTGCATGTGTGCGTGTGGTTTAATGTGCTTTGCAAACCCTCCTTGTGTTTTGTTTTTAGTTTATGGTTCACTTTATCATTCAGAAAATGAGTCACTTCGGTAACCAGGCGAAGCACACTGGGAGACCGCAGCTGTTGGTTTTGGGTTTTTCGCTAATAAATGAGCCACAAGGCGAGATACAATACAACGTGTTTGGCTGCTGTACAACGACACTGGCTGCTAACAAAAGGAGGTCCACAGTGCTGAAAAAGATTCAGTTTCATTAAGACTGGATGCAGGTGTTTTAAATAAAGAATCAACCATTTTAATCCCCTAAGCAGATTGGAAGAGGATCTCTAGGAACTCAGAAAACTGCCCAATTGAATCATCTAGGAATTTGTCACTTTGGCACCATCCTCTCCTTCAACATTGTGCAAAGCTGGCTTGTCATTTCAACTTAATTAAGGGTCGTCCATATGTAGCCTGGGGTTCAAAGGCTGCTTCTAGCACCCTATTTGTGATCTGCCACACCTCCGGATCACACTGCTGTTATTCAGTGATAAAACAACCAAATTCGGTCAGTGTAAATGCAGGCCATTTGGAAGGTGGGAAGTCTTAGGCTAATGGGGGGGGGGGGGGGAAGATGAACAGATTGACCTGCTTAGAGATGTCTCAGCATAAAAGAACAATTCTAAGCGGCCCTGTGGAAAACACAGAAGACCCAGTAGTAGCCCCAGACATTTTAAATAGTATTTAATCCTGGTCAGCCCCACTAGGTAGATCAGACCATGAAATCCACTCCATAGGAAGGTGAAAACTACTTTTATTGCAATGAAATTGGTGAAAATAGCAGAATGCTGCAAGTCTGATTACACTGTGCAGGTAGTCCTCGACATACAAGCTCAACTGAGTTCAAAATTTCTGTTGTTAAGCAAGACAGTTGTTAAATGAGCTTTGCCCCATTTTACAACCTTTCGTACCACAGTTGTGAATCACTGCAGTTGTTAGGTTAGTAACATGGTTGTTAAATGAATCTGGCTTCCCTGTTGACTTTTCTTGTCAGAAGGTCACAAAAGGGGATCACATGATCCCAGGATTCTGCAACCGTCAAAAGTACATGCCTGTTGCCAAGCCTCCAAATTTTGATCACATGACTGTGGGGATGGTGCGATGGACATAAGTATGAAAAATGGTAATGTCACATTTTTCAGTGCCATTGTAACATCAAACGGTCACTAAATGAATGGTTGTAAGCCGAGGACTACCTGGTTATATGCCGCAGTGGATTAGGCTACCATTTTGTGCAAACCTGTGGTGGCTTATTCAGTGACCCAAGATTAATCAATACACAACTTTGTGCAGTGTGTGTAAACCAAATCATAAGCAAGAAACTTTCCTGGAGGAACTTTCTATTTCAGCCCATCCTACCTCACAGATTGCAGGGTGATATAACTGTGGCAGGGAGCAAATGAATGCTATCTTGAAATGTAGAAGGAAAGACAGCATCAAACTTTAAACAATAGATGATAATCAAGCTATGGGATGGGAATGAACTGTCAAGAAAGTGTTTGATAATCTTCTTGAATCTCACCTTGCACCATCCCTGCAGGGTAAGCTCTGCTGTTGTTCTTATCTTATAAATTTGGTCCCCCCACCCACCCTTCTCTTCATGCTCCTGTTCTTAGGCTACAGTGGTTGGTTGAACCTCATGGAAATAGACCCTGATGAGGAAGTGCAAGGAGAAATCCACCTGCAGATGGAGATCATTGGCAGCAGTGCGGCAAGGAAGTTGCGCTGCATTGTGTTTGATGCCAGGTAAGGTTAGAGGCCAGGAAAGAGCAGAGGGTCTTGCAAGGAGGCAGCATTGAGAATGTTTAACTCATTGGAGAAAGCAGGGTAAGGAAGAAAGAAAAGATGAGCTCAAAACTCCAAATAACTCCAAATAACTCATGGCCAATTGCTGGTTGAACTGTATGTTTTCCTCCTGTTTTTAAAATCGTTTAAGTCCACATAACAAGCAATACCTGATTAACTTTGGCTGACCTTAAATACAGAGGTGAAGTGGTTAGTAATTGTATGGAAGACCACCAGAAAATCCTAGAGCTGGAGGCCAAAATAGATTTTTAAAAAATTCTGGAAGAAGGCCAAGACAACCCCTACAAAAAAGAGAAAGAAGGATAGGAGATGTCCATGTAAGCCAGTGTTTTTTAACCATGGCAACTTTAAACCGAGTGGACTTCAACTCCCAGAATTCCCTACCCAGCAATACCGATGTGCAGAGTTGGAGTTGAGATCTACTTAAGGAATTCTGTAGTTTTACCCAGCTTTGACTGATCCTGAAACATTCAACAGCTCTATTCCTGTTGAATGACCCATCCACAGAA